GCATCCTGAGCTCTTTTTGGCACCTCCTGATGTCTGACCACAAGAACCACCACGAAGTCATGATTTCCCCTTAACAGGAGACGGTGGAAGCGTGCCTCCAGGCTGCGTCCCTGCCCAGCGTCCCACAGCTCTGGCTCGACTACGGCCACGCTGAGTTACACTGGGTTCACAGCTCTGCACCAGAAAAGCAAGAGAAGTAATTACATGCAAGCAGCAAGGTCAGAGGCACGCAGAGCAGGGGGGAGCCCTTCCTCAGGCTTCCCCGGGTTTGTTTCCCTTTTGATGGTCAAATTTGGATAGGGAAAAATACCCTGATGCACAGAGGTGCCTATGCAAAAGTATCTCACACTGGTCTCCGTAAACGTGGTCGAGGTGGGCATTTTCTTAAGCTGCGGTGCTGCCTTTGAGCATCCCCATGGCCTCTGGGATGACAGTCTTCCACTCCTCCAGCTTGCCATCCAGATTTTGTGTCCCTTTTCAGCAAAGCCTGTTCCAACCAGCCACCTGGAAAACCCCCTCCTGGAAGCAACACCCTTCCTTCCCCTGACCTGCCCCACCTGGAGCACCTGATTCCCACTGCCAAGAATAAAAGCCCAGTGCTTTAACAGAGAACAACCTTCTCCTTTCAGAGCTGGCTCATAAACCTGAAACGCTGACAAAGGTAGTTAGATTACACCTGTATAAACAGGCACTAATCAAAAATATGCTCCATAAACATAAGCTTTCAAAACAGAGCTCTGTACCGCTGATGAATATGGAGTGTGTTTGTTTATCCATGGGTGAACTTGCTGATTTACCCCATAAATCCTTAAATAAAGGCACTGCCTGCTTTTTTTTTTTTCCTTCTCCCCCTTTTCCTTGAAGCAAAACCATCCCGAGCGTGCTAGGGTGGCCTCAGCAAATGCTCCGGTGACAATCTCATGGAGACTTATAAACCGTGAGCTGCCGGCACAGGAGACAATAAAGCTCCTGTTCCATCTCAGGTGACCTTTAATGCAAATCCATTCAGTCCCAGGGATCTTGCAGCTCCCGTGCCATGCCGGCACTAAGAGGATGAAGCCTCAGAGAAGCTGAATTCTTTTTGATGCTGCCAAGCCTGTTTGCCTCCTTCCCTGCCCTTCCGTTCTTTGAAAGCAGTTGCCGTTATGACACAGTATCTCCATCTGGCAGGGTGAATAAGCAGATCCACCCAGAGCCATTAAAAAAAAAGTGAGTCAACGCTAGAGATTTAAAGAAGTATTGTGAGATTTCATTTCAAGCTAAGGGGATTGCTTTTAAATAGCTCCCTTTCAAGTATTAAACCCAAGGCAGTGGCACAAATGCAGCAGCGCCTGCAGACCTCCTATTCCTATTGCCCTTCTGCAACCAGCCAGCTACTCCTGGTCCCCCATAGTCACTGCTGCCTACACCGACCTCTGAGGTGCAGCTCCCGTTGCTCCACAGGACCTGATCGGTCAGGACTGGTACACATCCCAAACTCTCTCCCAATTTTTCAAAGGGTAATGGCTATTCCATCCCCCCCTGCACACCAAGACTGCTTCCATACCTGGTCTGCCAACGAAAGCAACAGGCACTGGCACCGTCGAGCAGCAAATCCCCCAGCCTGTCCCCAGGGACCACTGGGACATTACACCGCCGAGCACGGGTAAGCACAGGGAACCATTTGGTGCAGCAAGGCTCCCCAAATGCTCTCACACCAGCTGTGCTGCATTTTGGATGGGAGCTTCTGCTCTTTGCTCCCCAAGAAGAGAGATCATGGCCCAGGAAGCTCTGTCCCACTTTTGTAATATGAAAGCCCAGAGCATCCCACTTTTGGTCTGAAATGAGAACGTCTCACCACCCCTTTAGTATGCTGCTGCTGTGGGGAGAGCAGGCAATCAGATGTCTGCAGTGGTTTGCTTAGGTGTGGAGAAAACGTGGGAATGTAATACGCGGTAAATAATCTATTTTCCAAGCCAGCAGGCTAGTGAGGACTACCCAATCCTGGGGTTTCCCGATATCCCCCCAACAGAAAGGCTTTCCAGCCAACCCTCGGTGGTTTGTGAAATACTTGGGCTACGTATCTCATGAGTATCTCACTGTTGTGGCAGCTATGCCAAGCCTTTCTGCTGGAGGTTCCTGATTTCAAACCAAGGTCATTTGCAGCCCTGGTAATTAGTGTCACTACAGCAACATCACTGTTATGCAAAGAAGGTTAATCTAGATTCTTAGCACTCAACACATTAAATGATTGCAAACAACATCTGACGATGTCTGATGGGTGCTTGTGCTCCCTGTTGTTAGGTTTACTCAGAGCAGGAATAAGACTTGCCAAATTGCATCCACCAACAGCTTGAGAATCTCCAGTGGCTATTACAGGCACAACCCCAGAGATCTGAGTTTCTTCGGTGCCGAGTTACATACCTGAATACACGTCCCAGTGCACTCCTTGCAGAGGCTGCAGGACAAAGCCCATCTGCTTGCTGGGATATGTGAGATCTTCGTAATGGGTTCCATTTTTTCAGGACATCCAATGCTAACCTGGTCATGAAACAGAAGACAAGTTGTAAATACTGGTTACCATCCCAGATCTCCTACAGGGGGATGTCTGTGTCAGTCTGAATGAGGGATGGATTTATTTGTTATTTTTCAGGGTCACTAGTAATTTGGAAAAAAAAAACCCAAACCCCAAAACCCAGAAACAAATCTGGATGAAATGGAAGGAAAAATTGATGTCAGTGTTTCCTCTGAACTAATTCCTCATCTGGATGTTGTGGTGTATCTCAGATGGGCACAGGACATTAGCTTTACCCTGACCAGGCAGGTCCTGGAAATGCCCCCCACCTCTGCACCCTTGCACCCCACCTCTGTGTCCTCCCTTAACAGGGTGCCGCATGGCTGCTAATTAAACACACAGCCCGATGACCGACCGGCATCGTGGCTCTGACCTCGGCACGGCTTGATGACCCAAACCGGACTTGCTATTTAGGCCACTAATGAACATCCTAGGCCCGGACCTGGAAACCAGGCCCATGCCCACCCGTGTGTCAGGAGGAGGTTGGAAAACATCTTACTTCAGGTATCCATAAGGCACAGCTAACGTGGACCCATTTCGTCCCGCTCCGGGTGGGCTTCAGCGCTCCCCCTCTCTTCGGGCACAGTAGACACTTTGGCTGAACCCCGAGGGCACAGGTCCGGCACAGCCAGCTCCCGATGGGGACCTTCAGGATGCCGTAGCACGCCTGCGCGGACACGAGGGAGGTGGGTTAGCCCCAGCAGCCCGGGAAGAGCATCCTCCAGGGCCTCCTCCTTCACTCCTACCTTTATCACTACCGCTGGCTTATCGCCACCACATCTGGGCATCGCAGTAATAAAGAGCAGATGTGACACAGCTCCGCGATCACAGACAGCGAGGTTAAGTTTTTCCTTCCTTGCTACCTTCCCTATTTTCATGTGAATACTCATGCCAGATCACTATGATGTCCTGGGTTTTAATTAAAAGCTAAGTATACAAATGTGCTGTGTATCATGCCAAGCGTCCTCCTGGCTCTAGGTCAGGGGGGAAAAGCAACCAGGCTGCTCCATCAGAGCCCCCACCACCGGCAGCTCTGCGGTGTGGATGTCTGCCCGCTCATCTCCTGCCCATTTCTGAACAGCTATCAGACCCACAATGACTCGGAGAAGTAAGAAATGCCGTGTGGAGAAAACCTCTGAGGTAGCTGAGGGCTGAAAAGCCACAACCCCATGATTGAGAAAGATGGCCACACTGGTTACACACCCAACACAGCCTGAAGGGGAAGCGAAAATAACTACGGAAAGGTAAAAGGGGGAAACCGATAGTCATGATATAAATGAGAAGGGAAGAACCATAAAGGACGACAAATCTAAAGGACAATAAATCTAAAGGAAGGCAAGACAAGTCTACGGCCAAGAGAGTGAGAACTAAAGGACCTGGGTCGCCCACGGAGCTCCCTGACCTGCTGTGATAGCGCAGGATGCAGCGAAGCCAAAGCACTTCATAAATATTTCTCTTCCGTACTTGGGGAAGAGCCAAATGATAAGTCATATCACATAATGATGGTGATAAAATACTTTCCACTTCGGCCATAACTTATGACTGTATTAAACAGCTAGTGCTAAAACTAGACAGTTTTTAACCGGCAGGTCCCGACAACTCGCACTTAAAGGGTTTTCAGAGAGTGGCAGACAACTGCCTTGGGCACCAACACGGGGCTGTGTCACTATTTTAAGCGAGGCGATGTAATTAATTCTAGATCTGGCTGCTCTGATGTCCCTCCAGAAGGCAAGCGGGCAGCGCCGATAAGGACCCCCGGCGCTGTTGGCTGTAAATTGAGCCCAGGCATTTGTCAACTGCACTTTTTGAAGTTTACTCCAAAAAAGAACAGTTTTTCGTCCTGGTGCTGCAGGTCGCCGGCACCACAAGCGACAGTGCTGCAGGTGGACAGAGGCAGAGGGGCATGCGGAGATGCCTGAGCGCGGAAAAAGCCTATCCTCAGTATTTACTGGCCAAGAACAGACTTTATAACATGACATTAGCTTGCCCCAAAGCACGAATTTACTCTGATAGTGATTTCCAAGGGGAAAAAGCCACTTTGTGAACAGATTATTGGGATAATAAGGAATTCAGGGAGGTAATATTATTGCTGCGAGTCTACATGGTTCACAGAGACTTAACTGTGTGTTTCACAGCGCCTCCAAATCTGACAGATAAATCATTTCTGTAACTGAGTTTTATAAAACATCTGATTTAGTACCAGACAAAAATCAGCCTGGTACGTACTACCAGGAGAATAAACCAGCTGACTGATATCAAAATCCAGAGGAAAACAGGAATTATGACCAGGTGTGCATCTCTAGCAGACTCTTGGCTCTCGGTTATTTATTCCTAGAGGTTTTAGAGCAGCTGAAGGTGCAATTCTGCTCCTAGGAGCAAATACCACAGGGCCTCTGTCCCGGACAAGGAGTGGCTCTGCAAATGAGGTAGGTTATCAGCTAAACACGCTCTCCCAGTCCAGCACCAGCCAGAAGATGCTCTGGGAACATGCAGCCAGAGCAATGCCGAGTAGGAGCAGAGCAGCTATTTTTATCGCTGCGCCTGTCACGGGCTCAACGTCACCGAGAAGGGGATGCCAAAACACCGGGGAGGATGCTGAGCCACAGAAAAGCTTGGTGTGGTCCACTAACGGAGGGAGGGCTCGGCCACGTCCCCACACCAGGGAATGGGAATTTCGTAATGACAGGACCACGGCGCAGTGGCTGGAAGCTGGAGATGGATCATTCCGATCCTAAAAAGAAGTGCAATGTTGCCACCGCGAGAGTGATGAACCACAACGATTTAGCAGCGGGGGGGAAGATTCCTCCTCGCTGAAAAGTTTAAAATGAAGATTGCATGTGTTTTCTAAAAGCTATGCTTCATAGGAATTAGTTAATAGCAAGCCTCATGGCTTGTGTTATGCAGATGAGATGACTACAACAATCCCTTCTGGCACCATAACCCACCAATGTGTGTCTGAGCACAACCCTTCCTCTGCCCCTTCCCGCTGGGATGGAGGAGGATGAGGCATTGCTCTGGCTGCATCCCCCAGGACCCCAGCTCCCCTCTGCCACTGCCCAAATACATGGAGCAGGCGGCAGCGGTACCCGGTTCCCCACAGGAAGGCATCGTCCCCAGCAGGTTTTGGACATGGGGCTGGCAAAGGCACAGGGAAGGTTAGATTAAAAACATGATGCCACGTAATACCCCGTGCTGTGGCTCTGGGCTTTGTGGCTTAGGGCATAAATCGGGGCAGAGATTAAATCACAGGCAGCTTACAGGCTGGCATCGGGCTTAGGGTTGGACTCTGCTCCCTGAAAACAATGGAAAATCTCCCTTTTCTTTCAACAGTCTTGAAATCCAGCCTGCTGCATCCCCTTCTGCAGCACTGCTCTGCTCCCAGCGCCGGGGCCGCTGCTGAAAGTGGAGACCACAGGGTGCCACGGCCCGTGGTGGGCACAGCCGGGGTCGGTACATCCCCACGGCAGCCCTGCGCACGCTGATCTGCCTCCCCCTGAGCCCCTGCCCGCCGGCACTTGTCAGCTCACAGCCTGACATGGCCACTTGGGCTTGTTAAAAAAAAAAAACAAAAACAACACAAAAAACATCCCAACCCCAACCCTGAACCGTCCTGCTCTTTTGTGGAATCTGATTCACTGATGGAAACCATTCAAAACACCCACCTCCCGCAACTATAGATATCTCCAATGCTCTCCCACCTCCAGGAAGCGCTGATGGAAAAGCTGCCCAAAAGATGAGCAAATGGCTCTCTTCGGAGGAAAAAAACCCAAACCCTTCACACAGAGGGTGAAGCCCAGGAGCTGCCGCTGCCATCCCAGCACCGCATGGCCCTTCCCCTCAAAGCACAACCAGCAAAACCACCCCGGACCCACGTGAGACCCAGGAGACCCCCAGAAGGCTGCCTTCTCCTTGTCAAGGTCTCCCCACCTTGAGCACCAAGCGCAGGAGCCCACAGACCCCCCCCCCCCAGCAAGGGCTTGAAGCATTAGCATTCAGTTCTAAAAATAAAATTATTTTCCTCCAGGCAGCGAAATAAAGTGAAATCCTACACTTGTACAGCAAGGAAGCTGGGACAGAAACCCTGCGATGCGAGACAGCGCTAGTGGAGCTGGAAGGTCCTGCTACCCCCAGTATAACGCTGCGGAGGAGGAGGCTGGAGGTCCAGGCAAGCCCACTCCTCCGGCGAGCGCAGGGTGTGCGCAGGGCTGCAGACCCACATCCCTCCCAGCCCACCACTGTCCCGCACAGGGTGCTGGTCACCCCTGGGTGCTAAAGGTCCTGTGGTTGCAGTTTAATAAAGAAAGATGGGGTAAAGAAAGAAGAATAATGGAAGAGGAGGCATAAAATAAAATATCACAGAGATCACAGAATAAGGAGGAGGGGGCAAAGCAAGCTCACAGGATGCGGTTTTCAACCTCTGGTTGTGTATTTCTGTGGGCACTTATGAAGGGCTGGGGCTAAGAAAGTAAGAAAAGCAAGTTTGGTGTCTGCCAGCTATCCAAGACCCCATCTGCTATCCTTGCTCCGCTGGAGACGCGCTGGGAATCCATCACAAAAGCTGAACAGGGTCTACAGCAGCTCAGGGAGAGGGGGACAGTGGGGATGGGAGGAACCCAGAGGAGGGTACAGGAGCATGATGTGCAGACAGCCAAAACCTGCCGCTCTCCCCCGCGGCGGGGGCTCACCTGGTGCACGCAGACGTTGCACTTGTCGCAGAACACCATCTCGTTGCCGTCCTCCCCCTCCGGCGAGCGGCAGACATCACACACCACGTCCTCGTCGTACTCGATGCCCAAGCCCTCCTCCGTTTCGATGGCGATGTTCATGTTCTCGTAGCACATGGTCTCCAGCTCCTCCAGCACTCGCTCCAGGGTGATCTCATCCAGCTCGGGCTTTTCTGCAAGGCAGAAGGCAGAGGAGGACACTGAGGCAGCTCCAGCACAGGAGCCCACCTGCCTTCAGGGAGCATTTTGCAAAGGGCTGAGCATTTTCAACTGCAACTCTAGAGGCAAATCCACGATGATGGTAAGAGCGGCGATTCAGAAAACAGCTGCTTCTAACTCGGGATGCAGTTTACGTTTCATAGACAGTAACAAAATATTGCTGCTGGCTGAGAGGAAAGACACCCATTCAGCTGAAGCAATGCGGATAATTAGGTCTGACAGTTTAAATGTTCAAGGAGACAAGTTTTGCAAAGATGCTTTCTGCAGCGAGGGCTCAGACAAGCTTTGGCAACACAAAGTCAATGCTTTAACTGTCAAGACTGAAAATTGACCCCTTTTAAGGCCAATTAAACTGAAACTGAGGACAAATGAGGCTTTTTTCCCTGGTTGGGTTTAGTGGAACCAGAAGGTCAGACCCGGAGTGGGCTCAGATCTGCTGTGCTTACTCCCCCCGTACCAGGATCTTTAGTGGAAAGAAGTGGCAGAGGTGTTCTACCAGAGGTTTATCCAGAGTGACAACAAGGAATATGAGGCCAATAACCAGGAAAGGCTTTTTCAGAGCAGCAATCTCCAGCAGCGGGATGCCCGGTCACCGTTCCAGAGGGGATGCTGCTGCCAGGAGCTCGGCAGCACCAAAACGGTGCCACGCACACTGAACGCTGCTCCCAAACGCGCTGCCTCTCACCCGCACACAAAGATCCTGGTGCCACAAACACAATGTGAGGTCACCCCAGGTAAGGAAAAAAAGAAGGGAAAAAAATCTGTCAGCAGCAGGGGAGAGGTTCTCTGCGAGGGATAAGAGGCAGAGTTAAACGCCCACCACGCCCCGTCTCCCCATGAGCACTGTTTCATCACCGGGGAAGGCATGGAGATGGGGATGGAGATACCAGCAGGATGCAATAAAAAACATTTAATCCTTGCATTTCATTTGCGTATATTATCTGTGATAACAGCCAGGATGCTCCAGAACGCACCAGACAGCGGAGGAGCCTGACCCACGCTGCTGTCCACCTTTCTCGTTGCAAGGCAACAGGAGGAAATATCTCATTTATCAGCAGAGAAGGGGAAAAAAAGGCTTGAGGAAGTCCTAATATGAAGCAGTTATTAATTAAATGTTCAGTGAGACATTTGCCGTCCTAGGTGTCTGTTGGGCCACAGTGTGACATCCCTGTCCCGGATGAGCTCTGGGACTCCGAGAGGCCCCCAGGGCTGGGGAGCGAGGGGGCTGCGGGGTCCTGGGCAGTGCTCCCGGCCCCTCCGGCTGGACGATGCTGGCAGAGGCTGCACCTTCCCCCGACGGCCACGGACTGGCTGAAAAAACTCTGTTAAGGGGGAAAGCAACCCGTAGGCGAGCTCGGCAAGCAAACACACCATTGTCTGCCTTTTTAAGCTCTTCCCCAATGTTTCGCATTGGCACAGTTTCCCTTGGCTTGACAAGTCTCTGCAAACATCTAGCCTGGCATTTTACATGTCTGTGTCAAGTCTGAGATACCATCTAAGACAGACAACTGTTCCCTATCACAGCCCTTTCAAGCGCTCGGGCTGCTGTGCCGCAACACGCCGAGGAACCTGACAATACCTGTTTTATTACGAAGCAGCCCCGGCGATGGGCGCGGGATCTCTGCAGAGCCCCAGGGTGGCCCAGGCTGCCAAGGGCCGCCGGGGCTCAGCAAAGTGAAGCATCCTGCGCTGGCACAGTGGCACAGCGAGCCCTCTGCACCGGAGCCAGGACGGAGCCACTGGCTTGCTCTTGGCATCGTGCCGGTCAGATGCAACAGGGCAGGGAGCAGGTTACAGACAAAGCCAGAGCATTATTTTTGCCTTAATGGCATCCCTTTATAAACACACCACCTGTGTTGTGTGGCACTTGCCTGATGGAGATCTGCAAGCCATGACTTCATGCGAGCATTAAATAAGCTCTCGGTCAGTGTTTCAAGTCCACATCTGTGACTATGATCCCGGGCACCGGAGTGTCAGCCTGGAGTCACTCCCTTTCTCCCAACATTTCAGGCTCGGCTCTCTCTGCTCTTCTGGAAAGCAAAATGACCACTAAAGTGTTCCTGATGCTTTTCCCCATGCACTTCCTAGAGCTGCCCTGTGCTCAGGGGAGAGGGCAGGCAGAGAGCCGGCAGCTGCAGGCAGTGCAAGGAAGGAAGGGGGGGGGGCTTCCACTGGAATCATGGCCCTAACCTGCCTGCAGGGTCGGGATCACACTGGCATCGCCAGGATCGCGCTGGCATCACCACCGTTCCCATTTCACCTGGAGTGGAAAGAACCGGCTTCCATCCCACCTCTTCTATTTTCCATCCACAGCGACGCTCCAGTGTCGCCAGCTTAACCCTGGGGAGAAAATCTCTGCCGATCCCAAAACTCTCGCGCCGGAGCAAGACCAGCACCCCAGCAGGGTTTCCTTATCAGCCTACATGCAATGTAGTTGTTATACCGTTATATCAAAAAATACAGATCTCTCCCTCCCTCCCGCATGCACACGCGCGCGCTCTCACACTCCATTTAGATGTAATTACATTAGGAATTCATTTGCCAAGCACCATTCAGAATACCTCGGAGCTTATTGAATTGACAATTGCACTTGATGGGGATGAAGCGATTAATCGCTTATGAAACACTAAACAATGGGGCCTGGGGGTGAAGTGCTTTTTCCATTTGTGCTCCATTTATCTCCTTCTGCATCATATGAAGTTTGTGCTATTAAACTCCATTCATAAAATTGTCATCTTTTTGGCTGCGAAAACACTATCTGTATTGATTGTGGCCACCTAAATAGCAAAATCAAAAAAATACTCCACCAAAACACTCCCTGTGTACATGCACAAGTGACACTTCTTGTCCCCTGGGAAGGAAAAGCAAAGACCCAGATACTGATCTTGGCCACGATGAATAAATCCAGCGACGTCCAAGGGTAAGTCACGTTTGAGACCATCATCAGGACCGTGGACTCTGACAGCTGACCAAGAGAAAGGTATTTTTGCCTGGTTAAGGTATGCCAAGGTCTTGTATGAAAGGTGGGGGAGTAAAGGAAGCCGTTCTGAGCCTCCACAGAGAAGGGCAGTGTAGCTGCAAACTTCTCCATAGTTTCTGTCCGGAGGGACGTGGCCAGAAGTGAGAATGTAATCTCATGCCAATATAACCACCGGTGATTTGGAGCCATGTTCAAAACACTAACACAGGAGTAAAAAGCTCCATGTCCCATCACCTTTTCTAGGAGTCCACCCGTATCCTCTCCTCATTAACATCGAGCCCGTTAACTAATGATGACTGGTTTTAATGGGACACCCCCGACATCGCCCCGCGGTGGGAAGGGCTGTCACCCAGGGAGTGTTGACTCCCACTGCATCCCGGCTGGAGAAAAGCTACCCTCTCTCGGCCCAGAGCAGGATGCTGGCGGGCAGCGCGTACCCAGCCAAAGGAAGCATCCCCCAGAGGAGAAGGGGGACTTTGCTTCGGAAATGGAGGAGGAGAAGAGGCACCAGAGGATGATGCACTACAGGAGGTCTCCAGATCTGATTCAGGAAGGGAAAACGCGTAGGAACCCGGCCTTTCGTTTGAACTTTGCTCCCAGCAGAAAACTGTTCCCTGTTTCTCTGCCATCAGGATCTGCCACGATCCCTGCAGCTCCGCAGCCGCCCAGCATCCCTGTTATCTCCGGGGGGCTCCCGAGGTGCCCGCCCTGACCCCACGCACCTCAGCTCCCCCAAACTTTGGAGCAACTGCCCATACCGCAGCTGAAACACAGAATTTAAATATTTTATCCCAAAGGAGCTGGGATCTCTGGGCTGGCACTGAAGCCACGGCGCCAGGTCTGGGAGAACCACCAGGCACATTCCTTTACACAATGCCGCTCTCCGTTATAATTATTTCTGTAATATCGCAATTTATGTGGCATGAAGGAGCAATATTCTTCTGCTAAATGAATTCTCAGCTACTCCTTATCGTGGTGTGAGCCGACTCACTGCGCGGGAAGAAAAATGTAGCTGGAGAGCCACCTTTCATGAAACAGAGACCTATTTCTGACTAAACTGCACTCCACTAAAATCAATTTACTGAAACAATAAATTCTTTTACCCTGTGGAAGATACCTGGAGATAAAATAGCTTATGAACAGTCATCAGGGCTACAGGCTGTGCCATTAGCTGATTCACAAGCTATAAACCTTGGAGTCTACTTTCAGTAAAAATACACATAAACAAGCAAAATTACTGTTTTTTTAATTTAAAAAAAGGAAGAGCACTTGTAAGATGATGTAGGCTTCTCTCCCAATGTCTTTGAAATACTGAGAGTGAAAGGGGGCCAGCTCCCTGATGGGACAGGGGTGTTGGTGCACGGTAACGGGGATCACGGGCTCCTGAGATCTCCTTCCAGCTCAAAGACCGTCGCTCCAGCTTGCCCCGGGCGAGTCACTTCAAACCTGCCTGCCTGGGCTTCTGCCTCTGCAAAGCTGTGCAGAGGATCCTTCCCCCTCGGAGGCCGGGAGAATGAAAGCAATCTGAAGATAAAAAGCACTGGCTAGATGCTAAAACTGAGTTTAGGCACCACTGTGCAGAAGGACACTTTGGGAGAAGCACAATTTGCCTCTGAATATGGCCGGGAGGTGAGCACCCATGCACTCAAGGCACCCATGGGGACACCAGGCACCCCTGCCCCGGGCTGGGTGCTCCCCTGGGCATCCCGGGTCCTGTCCCAAGCATCCTTTGCAAAGGTCAGGGGATGATGGACAACCACCTGAACACCACACCAGACTATCCAGGACTCCCCCAGCCACCTCTAACCCATCACCTGCAGGCACACAATGCTTGGGAGATGCAGCAATTGTACATTAATCTTTTATCAATATTATTTATAAAGAGAACCTTGATGTGAAGTGTGACCAACAAAACAAACAACAACATGCAACTGCGCGAGCTGAGCATCCGCAGTGAAACTTCTAGATATTTTG